TATATATATATGTATGTCATCGGTCTCAAGGAAAAATTTACTAACATTCGGTAGGCGACGAAATAAAGTGACTTAAGAGTTCGGCTACAAATAAATGATATTCGGTTTTCGAATCTTGATTTAATTATTTCTTCCTTTTCCTTCGATGCAAATATGCAATTTATTTTTCGATTATCTTATCTTTCATTAATTTAACTCAATAAGAATTAATGTACAGCTTCCAAGATTGATTGGCACACTACATACAGAACAATCTGTCTTATAAAAATCGAGATTTGTCCTTAAGGCCAATGACGTAAGCTGATGATTGGCTAATAAACTGTATAAGTATCTTTATTGCGCGCAGCATGATTTTCCCATAGAAGCGCTACAAGTTTTGTGCACGAGGAATCCGCTTTCCGCCGACCTCGTCAATGAATGTTTGTATTTTTTTCAGGTGGTAGCCAATCGGTGGCCAGTTACGAAGATCTGAGCTCCAGCAGTTTCAGTTCTGCAAGTAGGGCATCTCTGGACGCGAGGAGTTCACCGACACCGTCGTATGGAGCTGAAAACATGATGGTATTTCCTGGAGATAGTAGTGGCTCCATTTGAGATTATTTGAGATGCGCAGCCATGCTGCCCAAGTGGCTGCGTTGCCTCAGATAAAGAAAGAGCAAGGGCAGAAAAAAGAAGATGAAGAAGAAAGAGGAAAAATTCTTCTTAGAAGAAGCCTCGCTCGAACAAGGAAGACCGATTCGCTGTGCCGTGCCATCACTTAGTTTTGTCGTTTTAAGCCCGTCAATCACACAAAACTCTGTTTTTCTAAAGTTTCGTTGATATGGAATACATCACACAGTGAGACGGACGAGAGACACAAAGTGCATCAGCGGAATGAATAAATAAAATGAGGATAATTCGCGTAAATGTGGAGGACAATAGGAGAGATGTTAATAATAAGGAGTGCAATGTTGAAGGAAGAAGGGTAGATGGGGAAAGGTCTTCAGCCATATATGTGAGTTGGCCGTGTCTTTTTTATGAAACGCGTATAAATGTACAGAAAAATGCGTTTTTCTTTCCACGAATCACACAGCGTTTCGTTATCTTGTTTCCTCTTGTTGCATATTCCATATTCATCTACTCCATTCGCTTATTCTTGCCCGCGATCGTACGGAACACGATGTTGTCCTCTGATACAATTCTCTACAATTCGTATCAGATTACACATTAGAGATTAAAAAGTGGAAATTTGAAATTAGATTTTAATCAAAACGGATTAAAATTAAAATTATCTAATTGAAATTCTATCCTTCAATTTTACAATCTTCAATGTGTAGTCTGATACGTAACGCACGTTTAAGAGAGGACAAAAGCTAGTGGGATAGGAATGAGTGACTTTTGTTGCGTACATCTCGCATCTTTTACAAGAAAAAAAAGAGGATCCGAGCTTCATGGTAGCCGTGACAAAATTTCGTTTCTCGCGCTATATTAACGTCTAATTATAAGAGACTATTTTGCGGTAAAGTTACAACGCTGATTATCAGTCCCTATATTTTTGTACCCAAATATGCAGTCTGCGTTTGTGATAATTGCATTTTGTACACATCTCTTTTCCCTCCTCGTGCAATTTGTCGGTGTGTAATGCTCGCGATTTGTTATTCGAATATAAGAATATTCTCGTGATTTTTTCGTGAACATTATTTGTTCCCGCTTGTGTTCTTTCCCAGCTAACGCTAAATATTCCTGAAATATTCCTAAAATCTCTAAATGATATTCTAAGAATATTCCGAAATATTTTCAAAATGTAAGAGTAACATTCAAATAATCATCAAATATTCCATTCACATCGTTACATATTCAAAAGATGTTTCATATATTTTCTGCAAAATTGTAATTTTCAGAGAAATTCCAGGTCCGGATCTTTGAATTAATTTTTAAACGAAATTATAATATTAAAAGTACAAAATTCGTTTATTTTTACCTTGACTCAAATGTTAGAGTCATATTTCACGAAATGTGTTTTTTT